TACCATTGGTAAGAAGATGTGGTTCAGGACAGTGATGACTTGAACCTGGTGCCAGCAAGTTCAGATCCATATCAGCTCAGCCAAAACACAAGATACACTATAAAATTCATACACATACACACATGCACACATATATTTAATTTGAAAAAGTTGATACAATATGTAAGCTATAAATTATATCACATTTCCCAATGGGCTTGGAACAAAAAAATCCCATCATCAAGCACCTGAATGGTTTTCCACGGCACCACGTGTGAAGTTTTACAGTAAGTATATAGAGGAAGATTCTAAATAGCCTCTGGCCAGTTCTGACCAGATTTTATAGGCAAAGGCATTCAACTATTCAGTTTTCAGTGCTTTCTGGATTTCAGAATCATCATGGAGCTAAGCTTTGCGAGTATGGCCGCACTGATAGGACAGTCACTTGGTTCTGATTGGGCATATGTTCTGCAATGTCAGCCACAGAACTGGGGAGCACTGACCCCGCCCAGCCGAGGAAACAGAGCCAATCACAGGAATGGAGGAGCCCTGCGAGACAGGTGAGTGGGGTGAGGCACACCTGAGGACAGGAGGTGTTGGGGGATAGCGGTGTCCCAATGGAAAGGCAGAGGAAGATGGGAATCAAAGAGATGCAGCAGGTGCAGGGATCAGAGAGCATGGGAGGTGGCAAGGATGAAGGCAGAGCTGGATTCAGCAGGAGGTTTGGAAAGCAGCTGAGGAGATGAGAAAGGAAGATCTCAGGGGGGGAGGAATCCAGGAAGACAGAGAGAGAGAGAGTGAGCAGATGAGGTGGAGAAATGGTGGGAAGACAGGCCAGAAAGACCACTAAAATGTGTGCAAAGGAGAGGAGAAGCAGACAGCAGGAGGACAGAGCACTAGCTGGGAGGGGTGGAGAGCAAGGGAGAGACCTGAACAGGAACAGGGTTCTGCGGCCAGGTCAGAGCAGTGGGAAAAGAAAGGCAGGCTGAGGGAACCACTGATGGATGAACGAATAAAGACCATGCAGCTTGGATGGACAGAGGACTAAGAGTGGGATCCGGACATCTGCCCCAAGATGATGGACCTGGAGATCATTATGCTTGGTGACGTCAGAAGTAGATAAACATCACATGGTCTCCCTCATATATGCACACTAAAGAAGTGGGGATGTGAAATTAGCATAGTGATTATTAGAGGCTGGGAAGGGGAGGGGAGGAAAGACAGGGAGGCTGGATAATGGGTACCAACACTCTCTCTCTCTCTCTCTCTCTCTCTCTCTCTCTCTCACACACACACACACACACACACACACTGGTGAGTGGAAGAAATAGATCTCGGGTTCTGCAACCCAAGGCAGTGACTGCAGGTCTCTAACGTAGTCCACACTGTGTAGCCGGGGGGAGAGAGAGGGGAAAGCTCCAGACATACAGAAAAGGTAAAGCCATGGAAACACTCAAGCGCCTGATTCGATCATTTCACGCCATGCACTTGTGTGGAATGCTGTGCTGTTCCCCATACAAATCTACAAATATCCCATGTTTATCAAAACATTTTTCTTAAGAAAATGCTATAATTTTATCAATCATCTTTGAATGTATTTTAAAGACTTTTGACTTTGTAAAAAAGTTAATCTTTCGATTGTAATTCTTTTCTAAAAACATTCAACAGGCTGTTTATCACAGGGACACTGAATCAACCATTTCATTGCCATTTTGGGGCTCTTCCCTGAGGGGTTTAACAACAGCGACCTTCATCACAAACAGGTTGGTAAGCTCATACTAACCCCTGGAAGCACGGGGTTTATTTGTCATTTTCCCCAGAAGGCTGCCTCCAATTTCTGCATTATTTATCACTTAAAACAAGCACATTGGCCAGCGCTGCGGCTCACTAGGCTAATTCTCTGCCTGTGGCGCCAGCAATCCGGGTTCTAGTCCCGGTCGGGGCACCGGATTCTGTCCCGGTTGCTCCTCTTCCAGGCCAGCTCTCTGCTGTGGCCTGAGAGTGCAGTGGAGGATGGCCCAAGTCCTTGGGCCCTGCACCCCATGGGAGACCAGGAGAAGCACCTGGCTCCTGGCTTCGGATCTGCGCAGCGCTGGCCATAGCGGCCATTTGGGGGGTGAACCAAAGGAAGGAAGACCTTTGTCTCTGTCTCTCTTACTGTCTAACTCTGCCTGTCAAACAACAACAACAAGAAGCACATTGGTTTTTTCCTGATGGATGCTGAGATAGGTATTTATCACGTAAGTCAAGGGCTCCGGGTGCTTAATTAAACACACACTCCTACACACTATGCGTTTTTTGTGACATAACTGCTTGCCCAAAATCGCTGTCAGCCGAAGGTTTTTTCAGGCCTTGGCTTTCCTTGACACAATGAGACACTTTCGGTATCAACTTGTTGGGAAAGCAGCTTCCTAACTGTGTCTTAACCCCGAGCGGGAGGCTCAAAACTGTTTGCCTGCATCTGGTCGTATCTGCACCCAGTGAGAAGAGCCAATGAGTAAACACCTGCAGTAAGACGCATTTAGCTGCTGCTTGTCCACACAACAGAGCTCCTAAGGCTGCCACTTGTGGGTTCCCGGCTGTTCCCTCCTACACACACTGCGGGCTCCACGCGCCTCACGTGGGTGCTTCTTTTTCACGAGCAATTCTGCTTCAGGGCCTCGGGACAGTAGGTCTGAGCCATAACTGACTTTCACAGGCATCTGCAGCATGGATGTAGTTGTGTGACATGAAAATAAGGGAAAACCCTTTCTCAAGCCAGGGCCACCAAATTGAATTGAAGGGTTAGGGAGAGTAAGGCGTCTACCGCGCCTCGATCATCGCCACTAGGGGGCAGTCGAACACTGCCCACTGTACAATGCAGCTCAGGCCTGCCTGCGTTTTTGGAAGGTTAGCGAATGAGTCGAATAAGAAGTAGCAATTGGTAGTTAGCAAGTAGCATCCTCAAAACCTGTTGCTTTAATTTATTAGATAAAGCTATGTCTTAGATTTGTAATACTATCCCTAATGAGTCTATTAAAATACCTTTTCTTTGAAGTGCTTTGAGGCTGGTTAGCAAGGACGCAGAGTGCATAAATTAAGACAAATCGAATGTAACAACAATAAGATATGCTATCCGTAGCCATCCGTAAACGACCACAGTCTGAGACAGCCGGGATCATTCATTGGGTAGGCACTCCAGGTTAAACACGGCCAGAAGAACAATGACAATCACAGAATTTTTAAATTTTTCTGTTTAGATCTAAGAATCTATCCCAGACATCAACTTAAACTTATAAAGCACTATTTACTATCACATAATTCTAAATGATCTTTCTTTGGTGATCATAAAGAGCCTTAACATTTTACCTATTTACAATTTTACTGTGAAAAAGGAACATGTTTTACTAGGTATATAGCAAATACTTATTTTTTTACATTATATTGAAACATTGATTAATATTGTTTTACTTAAAAAAGAAGTTGTTTTAAGAATAAAGGTTTAAATTAACAGTGGGAAGTAACGTAAAATTATGACAGAATTTCAAGAGAATTATGGTAAATCGATAAATATTTATTTGGTTGGTGCTGTGGACATGAAACACGGCATTTACTAGAAAAATGCGAATTAGGTGGTGAACATGTCTGCTCATTTTAAAGAGCATCATCTCATTATCACAAATCATAAGATGATATTTTAATAGTGGATAACTTCCACTTCATACAGTGTTTGTCGTGAGTAAAAGAAGTAGTGCAGTAACCGGGGAGTTTTAGCATGGTCAGACCATTGGTGACAGGCATGGATGAGCTCTATGATGTGTCTTGAGCAAGAAACTACTTTCTAATTGTTTGTTCTTAAAAAAATCCTATAAAACTGGATATTCCAAATATGGATACAACTTGAATCTTTAGGGTCAGACCCTAAATTAAAGAAAGAGACTGCTTTCTGTAAGTGCATTTTACTCAAGAGAAGTTCAACTATTGCTTGTCCTTTGAAAGAACTGACCTTTTCATGAAAAGAGATTAAAATGTGAAACAAAAACCTTGATAGGTATATTGCGATGATGTTTTTAAACAAGCTGAACTGAATTCTCACCATCATTTTAAGTTCAAAATAAAATTTAAATATTTTAAATATTTATAAAATCTTTTATTTGGTATAACTTATTAAATGATTGCTCATAAATATTGCATTTTATTTTAAGATTAAAATTATTGTTGGAATTAAATTTGTAAAACTGAATATTTTAAAAACTTTAAACAGAACTCTAAGAAAATAAAAATACTTCCAATTACTTACTTTCTCAGAATCTTTAAGAAGGTATAGAATATATATACTTTTGAATAATAGTAATGAGAAACGCAGCATATTTTGAGTGCAAGAAATAGATAATTCACTAGTGGAATTATCACAACAAAGCAAGTCTCTTTCTCTAAAACTAGGTAGATTTAAGCTTTATCTTTTGTTAACTTTACAATAAAACTGCCATTGACTTAAAAATTAGCAGTTTGAAATAAAAATTTCCCCAAATTAGAAACAGAAATGAGAATTATCTCCTCTTTTGCAGCCTTTTAGTAGCTTTAGGAGCAAGGTGTTCTTGGACTCATCTGGGGCTTTCTATTATCTGTTTCACTCTGCTAATGCTGAAATCCAGTTCTTCACCATCCCAGATATTTAATGTACACACCTCAACAGGTTGAAATTTTACAAAACAGAACTTTAGTTTGTCAATTTGCCCTATTTTAGAAATACTTAAAAATCCTCATCTCTGTTATAACTAAAATAGGTAATTGAAGAATACTCTACCTACACCTTTTGCAATAGATCAAGGCATGCTTCCATGAAAAATCTGTTGTGTCTAGAAATTGCCAGGCGACTGCAAGAGGCGATCAGCAGTTAGTGATAATGACGATGACAGCGCAAACTTGGTGTCTGTTTTTCAAACACTGCAATCAGCCTATTATAAATGCCATAGAGCGAAATAGAAATTCTAGATTCTTTGGGAATTGCATTCGTTTAAAGCGAGAATCAGTAGCCTTACCTTTGACATCTATCAGAAGTACGAAATGAAGGAGAAGGAGCATTGCAATCAATCTGAGGCCGAAGAGATGTTTAATACCCGCAAATAGCAATAAGTTTCAGCAATTGAGTTATTGGTGTTTCCTCCTTATAGCTCAGAAGGAGTTCTGATCTCACAACTCTGGTGCCTCCCCTGTGTCTGAGCATGCTCACAGCCAGAACCCCACTGGCTCCAGGGGAGACCGACTCTTGTCGCCACACAGCCTGCTTATCTCGTTCTTTCTTTTATGTTTCATTTTATTTTAAATCTACCATTGTGTTCCTGGTCGTGAATTCATTAGGGATGTGCACAAGGGTATATAAATAAAATTTTGGCATTATGAGATAAGAAGCGTATGTTAATCACTTAATTTTCCCCCTGAAGGCATGCAGAGTGATTTCCTCTGACTTAAATTCGAGCATGTATGGAAACTCCTAAATATGAATGGATATAGATTTATGTTGAATAGAACTAAACTCTTTGCAGGCATGCTTTTTATTCAATAACAAAATGATCAAGAGCCACTTACTGACAAATACGCAAAGAATACCTCCTTCTATTCCAATGCACTTAAATGCTCTCAAACCAATACAGGAGGTTAGTAATAATGAAAACATGTAGTCTTGTGTTAAAAATATTTACTGTAAAACATTTGCACAATATTTTGCACCTCACTTACTTCTCCCATAATCACATTTCTTTTGAAACATGGATAATTTTGTTCTTGTTCTCAAAGCTGTGTTACACACCTATCATAAAGCATTAATTATAATAGTTCTTACATCCTGAAAGCAATTTCTTTAAACAGCATAGTTAGTGCAAGCTGAAGTATATGAAGAGATTTTGGTTGTGGGATTATGCTGATCCTAGTGAAGTCACAAGGAATTCTCCAAGAAGACACGGTAGAATTTCCTTGTCAGGGAAATTTACTAACTGGCAAATACCTATGTGGATAACGCAGTGTCGTCCTGATTTGGACAGAGGATTTTATAACCAAATGATATGGATTCTCTTACATGTTGCTGTTAACCATATCCTACCAACATTGTTGAGAGAGCTATTTTGTGATGGGAGTCTATTTTCATCACAAGCCCTAAAAGATGAGGTTTTCCTTGTTCTTTCTTTCGTTTCTGCACTGATAGGACAAGAAGGCAAAGAGAATTTGAAATGAAAATATTTTATTGATCACATAATGCAGTTAGTTCTTCTGTCTTTGAAGAAATGAGTGAGCTAAATTCATTAGGACTTCTTCCAGACACATTTATGTGTTTCTCATCTGATTTTTCAAACCCAACAAAGAAGCAACAGAGAGAATAAAGTCAAAGATGAAAAGAAATATTTCAAGATCTTTTCTTACATTTCAAGTACCTTTTTTTCCCTTAACTAACCTCGAGGTCTTAGATAAAATAAATTTCCTTAGCTCACCTTAAAAAAAATCAGGAATTATTATGTTTCATTATACTTTGTACTCTACAGAGATGGTGGATGCTAGTTTCTGGCATGGAAATTGTAAGCATGAGCATTCAAGCAATTAAATATCATGGATGGCCAATCACAGGTCTATGTGAAGTTTAAATATATTTCCTATGAAAATAATTTCTGAAAAAGGAATGTCAAGATTTAGTTTGGACTTCTTTGTGAATATCAGCCTTAGCAATAGAGTTGAACCATCATACTTTTCTGGTAGGTATTTCAAATATGATCTTTCAAATATTAACACAAAAGAAACCAGAACTCGATAGTTATAAATTATAGTTAAGAACCCCTTTGATTCATTATTAAGTTTTAAAGGTAGAATGTACAAGCAGTGATATACCATTTCACTCAATATGTTTTAAGTTTGATTTATGTAGTGTGAATATCCAGCCTTTTCAACTGCACCTGCCACGGCTGAAGAGTACACAGGGATATAATGAATATGTTTAAATCACAGTGAATTAATTTACTTTAAGGAAGAACCCAAGGGACCACACTCAGAATTGAGATGGAAGAATTATGCAAGTTGATACATCATTGGATATTAACTTCAAATTCGCAGAAGTGTCTTTTATTGATCCTTGTCTGGGTCTACCCATTCCTTCATTTCAATCATCTATTGGAGGCCCAAAATTTTGGCATTTACACGCTGAAAACTTATGTAATTATATTGACTATGGTACAGCCCAATCCAATAGAATTCTAGCTATTTCAAGGGAGTTTAATGAAAATGCTAATTACCTGGTTCTATGTGGGTGGAACGGGGCAGGCATTTCATAGAGTCTGCTGGAACTTTTACGCATGTCTTAGAAATCATTATTTAATATAAAATTTTTAAATCAAAATATGATTTATCTAAATATGGGAAGAAAGCCCTGATTTTGACACACTTTCAGAATTGTGTGATTGTTCTTTAAATTGGCTACAATTCACTTTCTTGCCAAATTAATTAATTCAATCAAGATTTTATTGAGTAGTTGCTTTACTTAATGATGGTGTAGCTTCATGGGCACCTCTCACTTCTGTAGACTTTATAGTTTTTTATTTACAAAATCAGATCCATATCTAGAATACTATCACTTTCTGTTTTGGAGGAAAGGGGTAGGTAAGCCAACTAATAAGTTACCACAAGGATAAAATTTTCCTTACAAAATAGACAATAAGATTAAGAACCCCAAACTTATGAGAGCAGGGTTCCTTGAGGATTTCCTTACCATAACCAAGTGATAGTAAAATCTGAATATTTCAGCTATACTAGCTAAGTATCTGTGATTAAAATTGTATGCTAGCCTCTCCGTGGGAGTTTAGACCATTCATTAAAGCTGATATTCTGAATAACATTTTCAGCAGTGGTAACAGATTTATTTGTACTCCATAGGCAGAACAAACCTAACAGAATCTCAAAATCTCATCAGCAGAGTGTGTCTAGCGAACAAACCAATCCTGGTGTATGGTCCATTTTGAGCAAAAAAGTTTAAGTTAAGTGTTCTAACTCTGATGTTCCAAATTTAAAATAATTTAAGTCAGGCTCCATTTAGCTAGGAATTTTAGCTCCTGGCAAGCTCAGCTCTTAGGAGCACAGCCACAAAACCCAGGGTAAAAAAAAAAATCACAGAGACACTACTGGCAGTACAGTAGATTAGATCCTCTGAAAGGCATTCTTCCTCGAAAATAATAACTCCTTCACAGCAATTTTTGTGGCGTATCTGGAGTTTTCAAAGTGAGAAGAATTGAATCTAAAGGGAAAACACAGGACAAAACAAAAAACAAATGCCAAAATGGCCATGTAGCAGTCAACAATTGCAAAAGCAAGGGTTGTCCAGCAAATAGATGTGGATATCAAAGCGGTGGCTTGTAGGGCAAGCTTCAAGTCAGTGTGAGGTATGACAGCTTAATCAGAGTATCCTACAGGGTGGAGCTGAAGACTTTGGAGTGGTGCCCCCTAGCAGTATCCATGAGAAATGCAAATTCTGTAGGAAAACATCCCTAATTTAGATCACTATATTGTACCCAGATTAAAATTAATTATAATACCTCATCACCAAATATCAATCACATACCCAACAATGAGTCAACAGAAATCAAAGCTCCGTACAACCCAAGCACTTCAAATACTGAAGCTATCAGTTATAGACTACAAAATTTTTAAAGAAAGAAATACGGAGTTAGTAACAGAATGAGAGACAAGAAACTATCAAAAAGAACAAAAAAAATTTGAACTGAACAATACATTTCTGGATCTTAAAAATTCAATGGATAGGCTAAAAGATTTTGGAACATTGTTGAGAAAAGAAGTTGTAAACTGGAATAAGGAGGTGGCAAAAATTTCCAAGATAGCACAGGTAAACAGGGAATGAGAAAATGAAGCAGGTTAAGTGATTTGGAGGAAAGCTTGAAAAAAGTTTTAATACACAGTGAGAATGAAGAAGAGGCTGCATCTGAGAAAATAATGATTTGGAATTTTCTAAAACTGATAGGATATAAGATTATGAATCTGGAAAGAAAAACATAGCAATAAAAATAAAGACAAACAAAAAATTAAGAAAACCATATCTGGATATGTGATTTTGAAAATGCATAATATCAAGTATACAGAGATGTTTTTAAAGAAGAAAACAGAGAGAAAGATTACATGCTAAGGGTAATTTAGAATGGCAGCAGGTTAGCCAACAACAACCATGGGAGCCAGAATAAATGTACCAATACTCAAAGTTCTTAGAGAAACACTGGTGACTAGAATTTGTTTTCTTAGCAAAACTATTTTTTCAAGGGAGCATAAAAGTCAAACATGAGATATATTTATAAAGTTAAGTAAGAATTAAAACAAAAGGTACAGACAAGAAGTTCAACATCATTTCCTGTAAGAAAATTACTCTATTTGAATTGTGAAGGCCAATAGGTAAAATCTGAACTCTGTCCATCTTGATTAATGGAGGGAGACATTAACAAATGCCTAGAACTCTCCCAGTAGTATCAAGACACACGGATGCAAAGCCAAATATAGAAGAAAGTAAAGCACATTCCTACACCTGTGTAAAACAAAGGGGGATCCTGCTCGTAATGGAGGGCCCAACTGGTAACTGGGTGAATACCCAAAAATATATCAGAGATAGGGTGGTACATTACATTATAGTTTCCAATTTTTCTACTCCCTGTAAAGGGATTATGGATCCCCCATGTTTTATCATGTGACTCGACTCTGCAGTACCTCTCAGTAGGTAGCAGATACTTATCTTACTTCCTTGACTTGAAACATGATTATTTATTTGTAATACAGAGAAAAAGACAGCCACGTGGAGAGAGATAACTCCTGTCTGTTGGGTCACTCTTCATTAATTTTTTTATTTTTTTATTTTTGACAGGCAGAGTGGACAGTGAGAAAGAGAGAGACAAAGGTCTTCCTTTACCGTTGGTTCACCCTCCAATGGCTGCTGTGGCTGGCGTGCTGCACTGATCCGAAGCCAGGAGCCAGGTGCTTCTCCTGGTCTCCCATGCGGGTGCAGGGCCTAAGCACTTGGGCCATTCTCCACTGCACTCCCAGGCCACAGCAGAGAGCTGGACTGGAAGAGGGGCAACCGGGACTAGAACCCGGTGTGCCGGCGCTGCAAGGCTGAGGATTAGCCTATTGA